TAAAGTTACAGATGCAGGCATTATATACTGACAAATATAATGCCTGCATCTGTAACTTTAACTCTACGCATCCGAAGAAGTGAGGTTTTTACTCACGAAAGCTTATGCCCAAATAAATCTGTTAGTCTTTAAGGTGCCACCAGACTCCTTGTTGTTTTTAAAGGTTTATTAGTTAAGAATAGGAAATAAGAGTTATTGAGAGGTTAAAATAGGTAAAATATATTAACAGTTGAGTCACACTTTGTAATTCCAAATGGAGGCAGTGATGCAATAAACTGCCAGTTTACAAAAAGTCTTTTCAGGGTTCCCATATTGTCTCTGGGGATCTCTACTTTGCGTCTGGTATACTTCCCTGTAAGAGTCCAAACAGTCCAGAGAAATAGGATCTTTCCTTGAATACATACTTAAAGCTTCTTCTCACAGAAAACAAGCTGACAGGGTCACTACCCCTGTGGGCTTTTCCTTTGATGACAAAGAGTAAGGAATGCATTTTGAGTCTTTGACCTCCAGTCATCACACACAATGACCACTTGCTTTGAAATTAACACTCTTCTGATAAAATTCTTCATTTGCATTCCACAAGGCTTCTTTCTCGTTTGATGGGTTATTTAGTTACAGGGCTCTACACAGTTTAAATGCTTGCTACTACATTATAACAGGATACAGCTAAGTAAAAACAATGCAAGTAACATTCCATTCATTTTCATGAAGTTTAAACAACAAGTACATTCTTTAACAAAATCACTCTGATCTATATTAATACGCAAGTGAATTGGCTTGGGGCTCTGGCATGAGCTGACACCTGGTCTGTCGGTGTCACAGTGTCTCCTTCATAATCTAGACTCCCAGGTGTTTCACTCCACAGATCCACTGAAATGTAACCATCACTAAGGTTCCGTGTTTGTCACGGAAGTTACAGATTCTGTGACCTCCGTGACTTCTGCAGCAGCTCGGGCAGCCTCTGGGCATGTCACACTACCTGCTACTGGGGCAGTCTTGGATCTCCCTGTCCCCCCCACAGTAGGAGTTTGGTGTGGGGCGGTCTCAGGGCTGGGGATTGGGATGTGGGGTGGTGCTTACCTGGGGGGAGCTCCTGGAAGGGGGATAGAAACCCCCCTCCCCCTAGCTCCATGTGTTGCCTCCGCCTGAAGGCACCACCCCCGCAGCTCCAATTGGCTGCAGTTCCCAGCCAATGAGTGGCAGTACTGGGGCTTGGGGCAGAGCGGAGGCAGCATGTGGAACTAGGAACTGGGTAGGGAGCCTGCCCCAGCACCTGCGGCACCCCCTGGGCTGCGAGTCCCCCACCCCAAGGACCTGCGATGCTTCTCCAGCTGTGCCCCCCTCCCTAGCACCCAGGCCATCCCCCATCTGAGCACCTGCAGGCCGCACACCTCAAAGCCCCCCCAAGTTTTAGTCAGGGGTATGTAGTAAAAGTTATGAACAGGTGACGTGATCTATCCATGACTTTTACTAAAAATACCCATGACTAAAACGTAGTCTTAACCATTACTGGTGTGTGAGGGCAGCAGCTAAGCAAACAGCATGCTGTCCAGCAGTTGCGGAGTGGGGAAAAGAGAGATTGAGGTAAGACTTATATCAGACACAAGTTTAAAGAATCCACAACTCTTTTTAAAGTCCATGTAGAGTAGACAGCACCACTGTTTTTAAAGTCTCCTGTAAAAAGCCCACACACTAACTTCTGATTATGATGGTCCCTTGTGGTCTGAGTCTATGAACTTGTGTGGGACTCACTTTGGGGCTGATCCTGAGTTCTTCCTAGGAGACTCTTGCACCTTCAGGTGCTATTGTCTTCCTAGCATTGGATCCTTTCTATCTAGATAAAAGACTTGTGTCAGGATTTTAAACCGATGGCAAGGAGTCCTAAGTGTTTTGCACTGGTTGCTTAGACTCAGAAGAAATCACCTGCATATAATTGTCAGCATAATATTTTTTATGATGCTCCATAAAATGTTTTCAATATGTTATAAAATTGAATATGAGAATAAAAATAGAAATGATATAACTAAAGGAAAAGGCTGCAATATCAGCTTGGTGAGATCCTTGTCCACTTAAGTTTAATGGGTCTGTGCAATGGATTTGTAATAAGATTCAAGTATGGATTAGATTTGAAATAGCTCTTTGTGGGGTATTTTTTTAAACTTGTATAAAGCACAGCTTTCTTTCTTTATAACATTTTGCTTTGAGCAATGCCAGAACATTTGAAGATCGGCAGTTGAACACCAACTGTGTATACTCCAAGGCCTTGTTTACACTAAAAAGTTTTGTTGGCAAAAGGCAGCTTTGGTCGACAAAACAGTGGAGGTAGTATACACTATAATGCCCCTCCTGCTGACAAAACTCTCCTGCTTTGTCAACAAAATAAAACCACCTCAACAAGAGGCGTAGTGCTTTTTGCAGCAAAGTTAGAGCGACAGAGCATCAGTGTAGACGCTGCATTTGTTATGTCGCCATAACTGGCCTCCAGGAGGTATCCCACAACACTCACCGTGACCACTCTGCTCACCGTTTCGAACTCCACTGCCCTGCATCCAGCTGCACACGCATGCGCCCCATCCCTTTCAAAGCCCTAGGAAGTTTTGAAATTCCTCAGCACGGAGAGCTCACATAGCCACTGTCCAGCTGAGCATGCTGGCTTCCGGCAGCAAACACACTCCTGCCTGGACTACAGCGGTGGGGGTGGATCTCTTTGGTCTGTGAGAGAACTGTAAGAGAGTCACGGAATCAAAACAGTAATGCAGAATCCTGCTTTCCCCGGGACTAGAACCACAGCGGCAGGCAGGGAGGGCTGCTGCAAGGGGTAGCGGGGGGAAAGACTGCTGTGCTGTGCAGAGTCAGGGAGGGAGGTGTGGGCTGATGTCGGGGTGTCCACCTCCCCCTACCTGTGTACCATTCTCCTCTGGGGTGGGGAGACGAGGATACCAGCTGTCTGTGCACCAGCTTCTGCCTCAGGACTGGTTGTTTGTGGCTGCTGTCTGAACTTGGGCTTTGTCACTGGAACCTGAACAACAAAACTTTTGTTGTTCAGAGGTGTAAAAAAGCCACACCCCTGAACGACAGAAGTTTTGCCAATGAAAAGCACCGGCGTGAACAGCGCTTCGTTGCAGGAGCGCTCTACTGCCAACAAAGCTACCACCGCTTGTTGTGGGTGGAAGTTTTTTGTCGGTGGGAGAGCTCTCTCCTGCCAACAAACAGCAGCTACACTGTGCACCTTTTAGCGGAACGGCTGTAGCAGCACAGCTGTGTTGCTAAAAGGTGCTTAATGTAGACATAGCCTTAGAATCAGCGTGCAGACACACTCACTCTCCCTCAGCACAGAGTCTGTCTCTCTCACACATACACACTCCTCCCCACACACTCTCTGACACACTCCTCTAACACACACTCTGTCTCTCTCTCTCTCATACTTTTCTCCCTCCTCCTGCACACACACTTCTGTGGTCTTTTGTTAGTGTTCAGCAATGTCATTTTGGTCATATTACCGAGAGCTACTTTAAAAACTGATTTAAAATGTGTTACTTTTCAGGCACACACAGCAATCATTACAAGGTTCATAGCATAGAGCAAACAAACAATGCCAGGCTCAGCACACTACGGCAACACACATTACTGTAGCTTAGTGTTAATATGCTCCTTCAAAGCATCCGTCAGCCGAATAGCCCCCCGTTGGGCTCCTCTTATAGCCTTGTGTTCATAACGCACAGCACAATACTGAACAGCAGTGAAGGATCCGTGCTTTCTGACAGAGATGGCCGGGTTGCAGGTTACCAGGGCATTTGAAAAGCAGCTGGTAATCTAGTAGGATACCCATGGAACAATTGGATTGAGAAAGCCCTTATCATGTGACACTGTACCTGCCCCCATGAGGCATTGCAAACCTGTCCCAAAGCACCCTGTGGCCAGTTGCACAGTGGGATAGCTACCCACAGTGCTCTGTTTTCTGTCGATGCAAGAGCTGCTATTGTGGATGCACTCCACCAACACAATAAGCATAGTGTGGACATGCAACAATGGTTTAATTACAGCGGTGGTGGTACGTTGGCGTAACTTGTGTTAACAAAACTCTGTAATGTAGACCAGTGGTTGTCAACCCAGGGTCAGAGATCTTCCAATTGATACATCAACTCATCTAGTTATTTGCCTAGTTTTACAACAGGCTACATAAAAAGCAGTATCGAAGTCAGTACAAACTAATATTTCATACAGATAGACAGTGACTTGTTTACACTGCTCTATATACTATACACTGAAATGTAAGTACAATATTTATATTCCAATTGATTTATTTTATAATTATATGGAAAAAATGAGAACG